AAAGACTGATCTAATTTCTATTGCTGAAAATTGAATAAATAAGAAAAATAGCAGATACACTGTGGTCTTTTCTGTTTTTCAGTCGGTAACCACGTCAAGAAATTTGGTTCAAATTTTTACTCAAGGATTTAGCTTTCTGTCTGAATCAAACTTAAAATGTTTCTTTGTGTCCGAAACAAAGTATTGACTGTAGTTCAATGCGTTTTCTTATGAGTCTGGGCTCACAAAAATTTTACAATTACTGGGAATGCGTTTTTGTAATAAGCATTAAATAATGCCAAAATGGGGCATTTTCAATGCCTCACTGCTCCTTAATGAGCATGTGCACCCCCTTTTTTTATTTCAAAATTGAAGTTATCATATGACAAATATTCAGTGGACAAAGTTTGAACAAAAATCTATTGACAGTTTTATTTCAGAGGAATTACCTTGAGGTGGACGAACATCTCCGTCTTTTTATATCGGAGTCTCCCCAGGAAAAGGGGGGGGGGGGGGTTGTTGGTTTCTTGGGTTTCGCTCAGGTCGCAAATTCTGGTGGAACGGGAGAAACAAACAACCCTTAAAGTAAAGTAAAAAAACTACGGATTATTTCGTTTGCTTGATTTTCCGCCATGCGCCAATGGAACGCACTTCGCCAAAAAGAAAACTGCAAAATTAATCAAGAAAAAAGGCGATATCTGTCCTTTGCTGTGTTTTATTTTCTTTTTGTGTTTAAAATTAATTGACAAGTAAAGAAGAGAGGTAATCCTCGTGAAGCTATTTACGGCACCGCATTAATTTACGACCAATTACGTTTGGCCGATGTGTGAAGACATGTGAAGGGGACTTGGGGACAAAGGTTCGCGTGGGTTCGCGCGTGGGCTCCCACTCCTTCAGCTTTCTGGCCAGGTTCCTCAACCTTGTTCCCGCCTGAGGCAATAGATTTCAGCATTTACGCGTCTTAACTGTTATTTTTTCACGCTAAAATGGTCACTGATCGCTTTCAGACACCATTATTGTCCGTACGCTTGGAGCGCTTTGCTTTATTTCTCTGTTCTTTACCACTCCTTTCATTTATGTCTTGTGTGGCGATCGCTCTTGTTTGGCACTTTGACGAAACTACGAATACTCATTGTAACGTAAGTATAAATGGATTTTCTTGTCATTGGTGCATCGCAAACTGTTTGCCTTTTCGCTTGAGCACTTTTATTAGGGCTTAATTTGCTTAGGCATATCATTTTAGTTACAGTCAACTGACTGCACACGATATTAGCTTTAGGGCCCGGTTTGAACCTGGTTTTAAGGGAAAGGCCCGGTTTGAACATGAAACATGTGTCGATCGACTACGGTAGTCGAATACAACGGCAAAAGTTCAACTTTGTTTCAAGCGTTTAACTTAGCTTTACATGTGCTGAATCTAATGCTTACATTTTACGGATACATAAGCCTAAATATTGAATTTAAGCTTAGCTTAAATCAAGCTTATGTTTAATTTTACTTCAAAGATTTTGTGTCAGATTACAATTTAGTCAACGGTGGAACTCAATTATTAGAGTCCACTCAAATGGGTATTAGGTTCGGCACTGTAAGAGTAGAAAAGGTTGATGTTTGAACCGGTCCTTTCTTCGCAATTCTTGTTGGTTGTTCGAAAGCACAAGCTTAATAATTTATGCAGCTTGTAATTATACTTTACTTTAATCATTTTCTCAACAGAAATACATACATATTCATATTTATTATATGGAGAAGAGTGTTTTACTGGGAACTAAACCACTCGTAGATTCCATACGCCACTTCATCCGGGACCCGAGTGGCGTATTTTCCGTATGTCGCCTTTGTGAGTGTCGTATCGTTCAATGAAGTCACGATTCCCACCTTTTGCTTTTGTTGAATTGGTTTCTCCATATAATAGAAAGAACATTACACGTTGGCGCAAAGGTATGAATTTTATGTTCTCGTGGTAAGAACAATATCTCACGAGTGAGCGAAGCTCACTCGTGAGATATTGTTCTTGCCACTCGAACATAAAATTCATATCTTCTCGCCACCGTGTAATATCCTCTATATATAAAGCTGAGGGAGAAAGCCAAAAACAGGAACAAGTTCCCTTACAAATGGCCACCCAAACCACAAAAAAAAAAAAGAAAAAAAAATTAAATATAAATATAATAGTAATAACAATAAAACCAGTAATAATAATAATCATGCCCCAATCTGATTGATTGGCGAAAAAACTTAAGCTTCCTTTGCTTGTTGATCCATTTCAAACCATGTGATGTACCAATGGAAATTCTTTCAGATTCAAGCATACCACATGGAAACGAATAATGTTTAAACAATTCTCCAGAGAGTTAAAAACACAAGATTACTTAATATACCGTATTATTGTCACATTTTGATTTCTTATTATTTTTTTGTTTCTTTATTATACAAAACAGATAGATTCCATGTTGCTGTGCATCTGTTCAGTAATTCATCACAGAAGATGTGAAAATGTAGTAAGAACATCATTGATGCACTCGGCTATGATCACCTTGTGTGCCACTTTTTTGTTGTTACCACATTTTGACATCATCTGTAATCAAGTACTGAACAGATGCACGTCAACATGTAGTCTACTTGTTAATCTGAGATGGGTGCATTGGCTCCGTGTTCAGTAGAATAAGTGACTTATCTTGAGAACATTTGCAAAACTGTTTTGAGAGTCTGAACATGACAGTTTGTCCAAGCACTTTTCTGACCATTCCATCTCAAGTTGTGATTTTTTTTTTTTTTTTTCATTTGCCATGGGTTATCTCTCAAGCGTCTGTTGATGAAATTGGATTGCATCTCAAAACATTAATTAAAACATAATTTGTTATTTTCCCTGTGTTAGGTTCCAAACTATTTACCATCAATAAGTGCAGCAATCGGGGGAGAAATGCCAGAGAAGTTTATCTGGAGAGTTGGAATAGCTCTACACTGTTTACCACGAATTCTACTTTTCCCGCCAGTGATTCATAAACATTACAAGAATACACAATTAGGCAGGCAATTGAACTTGACAACATGGTGGTTTTGGCCTCTCAACTTTCTAAGCTGTATTTCACAAGTAGTGGAAAATGGAGCACTCATGACTTTGACTTACATTTCTTCAACAGATAACTTTAGTAAGCTATTTTGCTGTGTTAAAGGGTTGTTTCTTCCAAAGTCATAATGAACTGAATGGCAAGTGAGATATGTCAGATCTTTTGGCTTTTTATTTGTTTCAGCTGTCCATGAAGGTTCGTTCATTGTCTTTATGGTCTGTGCTATGCTCTACATGTTTCTCTCTTGTGCTTTATTTTGGCTGACTTCAAACAAGCCAATGAATACTGAGGTACATAACAAACTAGCCGACCAAAGTTAATGATTTTAGTTTGTGTTAAGTTATGAACTGGAAGGCCTGAGAATTTTAGGCCCACAGGCCTGCCTCTGAGGCCTACTGCATGATGTTAATACAGTCTAACCCCTATTAAGGAGCCACCTATTAGATGGCCACTCCTATTAGGCAGCCAGCAATCAAAGACTCAATGATGGCTTTTCTATTGTTTCTACCTCTATTAAGCGGCCAACCCCTTTTATCGGCCACAGTCCATTTCCCCGAGGGTGACCATTTAATAGGGGTGCGACTGTATATGGTATATAAATTATTTTCATGCAGCTATCTGTATGTATTGCAGGCCTATAATACTACCATTCTCTGCACACATTTCAGGCCAATAATGTGAGGTGATTGCACAGCTATAACAGCACACACTCTGGTCTAGAGTTGTGAAAAGATAATCCAGCTCTCTGCATGCTACTTTTACCAATGACATGGGTGCATAATAATGTTACTCTGCTCTGCCCACCACAGGGCTATGGTGCAAGATATTTGTATTACAAGAATAGTGGGGGAAATGCCAAGATTGGAAATGCTTGCTCGTTTTAAATCATATAACTAATTAATTAATTTATTTATTTATTTATTATTGTTATTATTATTATTATTATTATTATTATTATTATTATTATAATTATTATAAGTCCTTAAAGTCTTGCCGCATTTTAATTTATGGTGCCAAGTTCAATCTGTGAGCCTAGGGCAGTCATAAGTCTGCTGGATTACTTGATGGATAGAGTCCTCCTAAGTATGTGAGCAGTTCCAAGGAGGATGGTCTTCTGTAGCTCTGTTATTCTAATATTGCCTGGGATCTTGCTGATGTAGTTTTCTGTTCCCTACTTGACAAGCCCGAAAGCTCCAATGATCACTGGGACAGTTGTTGTTTTCATTCCCCATGTTTTCTCGATTTCAATTTCAAGATCTTTGTACATGTACTTTGTGAGTTTCGAGTTTTCGAGGAGGTGTTCCTTTCTGTGGGGATGGACATATCGATAAGCAGACTGGTTCTTTCCTTCTTGTCTTTCACCACTATGTCTGGTCTGTTTATTATTATTATTATTATTATTATTATTATTATTATTATTATTATTGTTATTATTATTATTATTTAAAAAAAAATAAAAAATATTATTATTATTATTAATATTGTTATTAATATTATTATTATTTGCATATTCTCTTTTTTCAGGACTACATATTATTCAGGAGAAAGCTCTTTATAATGGTCTTCAATTATTGCTCTTTTGGTCTAGCAGTATATTTTTTCTTCAGGCACAACTCGCACTGTGAACCAGGAGGTATCCTTTTTTAACTCACTGTCACTTAAACGTAATATATATGTTATAGTCTTAAATTAGTACAATTATGTTCCAAGTTAGGTTAAGTACTTTATTTCAATTTATTTCAAACTGGAATCACTGCCAAACATGGGCCAGTTTCTGTAGCATGAATTGGTGGAGAGTATTGCTTCTCTCCCTCTGCCCCTCCCCCTTCCCCCCACCCCCCCAGATTAGATGCTAGTTCATTAATTTTGTGGGTTACTTCTAAGCATTCTGTCATGCAAATGTATCAAGTGTTTTTTCACTAGCTCCCCTTTTGGCAAGAGGTACCATGAGCGTTTAAAGGCCTGGTCAAAAAGAGTTGCTGCCTGCAGTGCTGCAAGTTTTTCATTTTCATTTTTTTGGCAACTTGAACATACACTTGGAATGTAAATGGTGAATCTCTCTGCAGTCCTACTCGAGGCTGCACAGGAGCTTAAATTTGCAGCCACTAGTCAGATACCTCTGTTTGTCCAGGAAATAAAGTGTCCTGCCCAGAGTGCAACACAGAGCAAATTACCCTTCTTGGGCTTAAACCGAGACTGCTTGATCTAAAATACATTTATTTACGGCCACTTACAATTGATTTTAAAAAGATAATTTGGAATGACATCAGTTTTACTGTATTTGAAGGTCAATCTCTGCAGTTAGTTTTTCTTAACAATTCCTGTATCTGTATGTACAGTGTATACCTTGTTTGCTCTGGCTGAATACTGCACAATTGTGTCCAACATTGCCTTTCACTGGCTTTGCTCCTGGCATTTTAATGGTTCTACCTTGTCGTTGGCCTTCAGTGAAGACACTCCGTCAAAGACCAGCTAAGACACTCCGTCAAAGACCAGGTTTCATGGTGCAAGGGTATTGTCATTCTGTAAAATCAGAGTGTTGAACCTCTGTGCATTACCTGCCTGTTATGAGGACGACTCTCGAGGGTTTGCTTGTTCAAAGACATCAAGCTATTAAGTGTAGGAGTATGTGACGAGCCATTATAACAACGGTGGCGAAAGAAGCTAGCGACACAGACAACCGTGAAAATCTGCTTTTTTTTTTGTTGCTTTGTAAACCTCCTTGCCGCAACAAGAGCACCAGGGGACATATCTACGTTCCGCATGGAGCAAAGCTGTATAAACAAACAAACAAACAAGCAAAACAAATGCCCCTTTTTTGTTTTGAATAATATAAATTATGGACACATGTTTTGTAGTCTCAGGGTTTTCACGTTCCATGGACAAGGGCTTAGTTCACACAAGCGACATAACGACATAATCACTGGGTTCAAACCATTTTAATACTATTTACTATGATCGCGTAGTCGTTTCGGTACAAGTCGAAGTCGATCCGATACTCATCTTAAGTCGATTCGATACAAACTGAGGTCAATTCCAAAACTTTAGGATACCCGGCAGTATGAAATTATTATAGAATTTCCACGTTTAGAATTGCCAAGCCATACGATTTGCTCCAACGTGAGGCTGGTTTGACTTCCCTTCGAATCGGGCTCGTGTCAGGGAAGAAGTTCAGCGTATTCAGCTGGCGGAAAAAGTTCCGAGACCTCCATGCAGACAAACATGATTTTTCTCCTTTTGATTTTTCTCCTTTTGCTACGAAACGACTTCAGTTTGCCGGTATCGAATTGACTTTATTTTGTATCGAATCAACTTTAGAAGTGTATCGAATCGACTTCCGTTTGTATCGAAACGACTTGGTATCGAAACGACCGTACTTTGTTGGTAATGCTAACGCCGACATAAAGACATAAGGAAAATTGATGGAAATGAAAACTTACGTTTCTCCGATTTCAAAATTGATTATTTCACCGTTGTTATTATTATTATTATTCATGTTAATAATATCAATCGATATCGGTTTTTATTATGACTTTTTGAGGTCATCGATTGACTTTAAACGTACTCGGTAAAAGATATCAAGAACACGTGATCTCATTAGCAAACATGACTTTTCACTCGTGATGTTGCGGTGCTCCTTGTGGTATTGCTGAGTCAAAGCAGGGCAAGATGGTTTCCTCAAGCCTCCAAGCACCTGTCATGTCCTTATCTTTAGATCGTTTTGCGGTGTTTATTTGTTCGTTACCGCTTCTTTCTTTCGCCTCTTGTGTGGCAATCGCGATTGCTTTGCACTTCGAAGAAACTACATGGTCTCATTGCAAGGTGAGCGTGTTTTTAAATAATTTACTAAGAGAAATCATCACGTTTCTTTGTTCCGTTTTCCCTCGATATATTTTGAGAATTTCTGCACTCGTTTTTCGGTTAAATCTCGAATGCAGTTCATTTACGTGCCAGCCCAGCGAAATTATTTCCTTGATATATGAACACGCATGAATACATAAAATAGAATTGACTTCTTACTCAAACATATCGAATGGAATAAATTAAGCGAGATTACACGCAACATTTTGAATTATGTTAGTTCGAACTAAGTATGTTTAACCGTTATTTTAACTTGACACTAATGATAGAATGATCTCGAACTTTGTTATTTTTGGCGTGATGTAATATATTTAAAGCAAAGTTGGTATGGAAAGGCCTCGTTCACACTTCTTGTGATGTATAAACCACATAACGGTAATGTCACGAAATCACGTAAGGCACCCTTTGACACCAATGTGACCAACACAACGTAACGACAGAAAGGAACAGAATAGGCATAAGCATAATGCCATAACGAAAGAAAATTCTCTATGTTGTACTTAAGTATCATGTGGTAATGTCGTGAGTGTGAACCAGGTTTTACTGTGGTGTAAATTGGGAAGATAGAAAATATTTTAACATTAGAAGAAGAAGATATTTTAACATCAGCTATGCACCGAAACTGAGCAGAGCTATTGTTTTAATATATTTAGAATCAGATAACGACCACTAGTCTAAACCCACCCAGAAACGTTATAAAAGTGAAAACTTTTACCAATATCCGTAAAAGCGTGACAACTCCAAAGCGTGACAATCCACCGAACCACGCATGAGTGAAAGTAGTTCCGAATGTTTACTGATGATTTAATTGGTTTTCGGTACATTACTGAAAGATAACGTGGACAGTTCGGGCTGAGTCTATTGACTCTAATTGAACAAAATAAATTAAACTTAAATAACAAATAAAGAGGAAAAATCACGGAAACCACGGGTGCATGGTACTTTTTTCCGTGTGGGGAAAATCCGCTGAGCGATGTGAGTGAAGGCGTGGAGCTACGTGAAGGGTGAGAACTTTGCGCCCGCACTCTTTTTGCACAGCGAGTTTCTATAACGAATCTTCCTACCTCTGTGGGGGAGAGAGGGAACAGACAATCTGATTTGGACAATGAACTACTTCCAGTAGCAGGCCTTCACTTCTCGTATTGTGTTGCTTTGTTGACGTTATTCGAGAGGGCAAAATGGTTTCTGCTGACCTCGGCCGAGCAATTTACATCTCCATACTTTCTGAACGGTTTTGTTTGTTTCTTTGCTCTTTACCGCTGCTTTCGTTCTCGTCTTGTGTGTCAATCTCTCTTGTCTGGCATTTTCGTAGAGCTAACAGCACTCAATGTGAGGTGAGCGAGTTTCGAAATAATACAAAGAAAATATTATAAACAGATGTACCGTGCACGTTCCATAGAGGGTGTGCGGTACACAGAAATGAGTTACACCGCCATAGTCAACTGATGAACAAAAATGATACTATATGCTCCCTGTAGGCTAAACTACAGACACCTGATCATACTTCGTTCTTTGATAACGACGACGACAACGATGATGACCTTAATTTAATCACGACAGGGTCTTAACTAAGCGTGAGGTCAAATGGTTTGATATTGGCTAACGTGTTCCATTTTAGAAATATTTGCTTGAAGTCAGGAGCTTTGTATGTTAAGACATGTCAATTACCAATTGAGACCGTGCTGTGCTCTCTAGGGAATTTTTCTTTTATAATATTTGTTCTAAAATTATTCATTCATTTTCACACGGACATGATTGAAATTGAAAGAAATACTGTTCAAATCAGGGCAACGTCAAAATGTGTCTAAACATGATATGAACAGTTGAGCTTAGCGAGCAAAAAAGAGTGTCTCAACTAATTGCCACAATAGGCCATTTCCGAGTTGCGTTTTGCGTCTGTGTCAAAACGAGTCGTGCGAAACCATTCATGTGGAAATGTACTCGCTCTACAAGTTCATTTTCATGAAAATCAAACTCATTTTCATATGAAAAATTTTTTACGCGGACTCGTTTTGAAACAGAGGCACAAGGCAACTTGGAAATGGCCTATAGGCTTTCTTTTTCTAGGCGCGAGCTGGTCCAATACTTTGTTTATTTTTATCCTGTTCCTTCGGTGGCACAGAAGAAAAAGAAAGCGAGCGAGGGAAAAATTCGTTCTCGTAATTATCTCTCCTAACGTCATGGCAAAATCCAGATTAACGGTGAGATCCATCAGAGGGTGTGTTTTGTATTCACCCCAAGAGCATCTGCCTTTCAGCGTAAAATACGCGGCTAATTGCAAGGACTTTAAAATCTCTGTTATAGGTTCCAAATTACCTTCCATCGATAAGTGCAGCAATAGGGGGTCGCATGCCTGAGAGGTTTATCTGGAGAGTTGGAATAGCCTTACACTGTCTTCCACGGATCCTGGTAATGCCTTACGCACTTCACAAACATTTCAAGAATACCCAGGCAGGCAGGAGATACAACTTAACTACTTGGTGGTTTGCGCCGCTCAATCTTCTGAACAGTCTGTTGCATTTAGTTGAAAATGGCGCTCTCTTAACTTTAACCTACATTTCTTCAAAGGAGAACTTAGGTAAGGTTGTTATACAAACTATTTAGTCAAAGTAGACTAGTTTATAATTTTGTATTGACAGAGAACTTAAGCTGCGTAACAGGCGTTTCCTTTCCATTTACCAGGCGGTGAAATCGAGCAAACGAGCGCGCCTCGGGTGAGCGAAAAAATGGAGAGAAGTGCGGAGGGGGTGAGCAAAAGAGGAGGAGAAAGGGGAGGGTGTGGGGAGGAAATTTGCTCCACCCCGTCTCCCTGCTCCTTATTTTTCGCCAGCAACGCAAGCTACAGAAAACTTAAATTTCTTGTGGACACAGTTTTGTATCCGCACTCGAATTTAATGCAAAAATATACCTATTTTGCTTTTTCGTCACAGATATCCATGAAGGGTCGTTTATTGTGTTCATGGCTTGTGCCATATCGTTTATGCTCCTGCATTGCATCTTATACCGATTGACTGCGACTCAGCCAATGGCTGATGAGGTAAATGTGATTAGTCCAAGTTATGCCAGAGGCGAATTATCTGACGCCGAATTCAGTTATGCGAGGCCGGAGACGATTTATCCATCTGAGACAATTTATAAATAATCTAGGTTCAAATCCATTGTTTAGACTAATTTCATGGCAAATTCGTCTTCAACTGATTCGTCTAACAGCATGTCTTCGAGATGTGCTGATAGACGAATCAGCCGAAGACGAATTTTGCCACATAATTTGCTTAAACACTGTATTTATTATTATTATTTTTCTTTTTTGGCATTCATGTTTACATGGTTATAAAATGGACATTTCATTTCTATTTACAGGAATACAAACTATTCACAAGAAAAGTCAGCGTCATGTCCTTCAACTGTTGTTCTTTTGGTCTAGCAGTGTATTTTTTCTTTAGACACAACTGGTACTGTGAAGCAGGAAGTATCCTTTTTAAAACAAAGCATGCAGCTAGAAAAAAAGGCAACGTTCGAATGATTTCGATAACATTTCCTGCTTAGAAGTCTAGAAGTCTATAACAAGTAGAAGTCTATAACAAGTGCAAGGTTTATTTCTTCGCTTTACATTTTATCCGTAGTTCATATTTGATTCACTCCAGTTATATGCATGATCGTCTTTGAGCCGAACCCCACAGGTAATCCAAACTCGCCTTACGAGCCCCCATATTAGTGAATAGTTCAAGAACACATTGCAAAACAGACAAGAAACGCGCGGCACATTTTTTCCAATCCATTGAAAATCAAAAGGCCCTTTTAGCTGCCTCGTGTTACTTGTTTTAGAGCGTTGAGAAATCCACTGCTAAAACCAAAACCAAGTGTAAAATGCAAGCGTAACGCTGGAGAAAAAAAACAGGAGCGACATAGCAAAGGATCACCGCTTACTTGAGAGTCGAGTGTTTCACGGCGTAAGGCTTATACAACTAGGCATGAAGTTGATAACCGCAATTATAATAAGTGAAACTACTGAGAATGCAATCATATTTCATTACTTTTTTCTTAACATTTGTTTTATCACCGCAGTGTACACTCTGTTCGCTCTGGCCGAGTACTGCACCATTGTATCGAACGTAGTTTTTCACTGGCTTTGTACGCGTATTTACAAAGGAGCTACAATGGCGATCTTATACCCTGATGACTACGAGCCAAAGATGAGCTGAGAGTAATCTTGTCTGTGATGTATGTTCTTGTCAGTCAGCACTTTGGTTGTCCTGTGAAACGTTTATGAATTCATTAATTTCGTTATGAGCAGATTCACAACATATGGATTAGTTCAGACCACGACACATGCGCACAAGTACGTAATATAATGCACGACCAACCCATGTCTCTCTTGACTAGCGGTCTCTGGGTATGACGCTGTTGCACAGCACGCGCAATTTGCTGTTAAAGCGGCGAGTGGAACTCCATGGCTTCGACGCTTAAAGGAAGGGCTCGCGAAGCCCTCTTTATGCCAATCGCGTGGCATATAGACCGTTTCAATTCCACTCATATTGCCAGAAGCTATGCAATTTCATTGGAGCAAAAGAAAGTCTTTACACAAGAAAAGGTTTCAACTCCCACAAGATTTGTTTGGGAGATCAACATGGCCGCTGTTTTGTTTTGGGACACCAATATGGCTGCCCTGACGTCACTGATGTGAATTGTGAAACATAAGGCTTGTAACGCTCGGGTTTGCTAGCTTGTAACGCACGGCCGGGTTTTCTAGCATCTTTGTCATGCATAACAATCAACATAACAGTAACTAATGCCATTTTTTTCTTCGATGTCATCTTTCTTAGGCAAGGATTGTCTTGTAATGTCAGAGTTAGCTTCGATTACCGGATGCCAAAGTGTGAGGTTACTTATGTTACCAGAATATAGAAAGTTTGCGCAATAATACTCAATTCCATTCAAAACAATACCATTTTAGAATTTATTTATAATTTCTAGTGATGTAATATTTATATTATCTGCATACTTGTTATACATTAAAATACCGATATTGAAAAAAGATATCCGAGTGATTAACTAAGACTCTACCAATATGAAAAAAAGCCCCTAAAACTGAGATACACGCGTACATTACATATACTTTTTAATAAAGCGGGTCTGAATATGGCAACCTTAGGGCTGGTGTGGACCTGCCATAAAATTTAACTAACCTAATATATTCAGATATTCAGATACTTCTAAAACAGACACAAAACTCAGGTATGATGGCTAGAGATTTGATGATAACGATATTGTCATTGAATGTGATAAAAGTTGAAAGATTTTAAGCCAGATAAATCTAAACGATCAGCACAACATAGCGGCATGCAACCCTAAAATATCCCCTGATGGATGAAAACAGTAAAATTCTGTAGGCCATTTCCGAGTTGTCTTTTGCCTCTGTGTAAAACCGAGTCCCCGAGCAAAACCATTCATATGAAAATGTGTCCCGCCTACTGTTTCATTTTCATGCAAACCAAATTCATTTTCATATGAAAGGTTCTGTACAAGGACTCGATTTGAAACGAGGCACCAGGTAACACGGAAATGGCCAATTGAGCTGCCTAAGTGAGACCAAAATCCCCAACTCAGACGTGATCTGTGAAAAAATGCTTACACTCGCAGCCTAACGAATACAATACTCTCGTAGTAGCGAATGTTTCCTTTCTCAAACACCAAGCCAATGAAAGTGTCGTTTGCCAGCTTGCCAGGAACGTTGGTGAGACAAGAATATCCACTAGGGCCTTTCCACACTCCTAGAGATCCCACCCATGATGTGCCTTTGTCACCACTCCAGCGGACAGTCATGTTTATACGGAGTAGTTTACTGGCTGGGTTGGAGAAGTATACCGTGTTTCTGTATTGCAGCAAGCTGGCGGCCACCACTGGGTCTATCAGAGTTTCGTCGAAGTAGATATCGGAATGAGCAAATGATTCTGCTCCGTCATAACTCTTGGACATGATGCGACAATGGCAGTGAAAACTCTGCTGGTTTCGGGAGGTCATTAACAAAGTACCGTCATACAACTCGATAAGCTGTTAAGGAGAAAACAAGTCTCGCTTAGATATCAGAGATATTGCGCCTAGGCTGACATGTTGAACAGACAATAACTTGAGGAAATTTTTAGTCTAGTTCCTAGGCCGTCCGTCTCGTTTACGTGACGTGAAGTCAATTGACCGTGAAGGCCTGAGAGAAAGCCGTGCAGGAACAAGGCAAAGAAGTAGGCCATTTTGCTACTGTAAATATTTCCTAGTTCCATTCCCTTGTGGGAACAGGAAGTGATCACTTGGCCAAAAAGGCCTCATTAATTCATTAAATAGATCAAATTTTGCCCCCACAAGGGACTGGAGCTAGCGTTAGCAAAATGGTGTATTGTCAGGATGCCAGTATGAGGTTAGGACATGTCCATTTTCCGATGGAGTTCTTTGGACCGCTTTACATATTCCTTTCCTCCGCAGGAACGAATTATTTACATATAAAAGCAAAAAAAGGGCGTACCTGAGATTCGTCCGGTTCAAATTCACCATTCTGGAGAATGGAACCTGCAACCCTCCAGTTGACTCCATGATCTGCAGTGGGAATGTATATGTCGGCAGATTAATTTTAGCGACCGCAGATTTCAGTAATTAGGCATGTAAATTATACTTTTGGGCCCGATCCATGATCTGAACGCGCCACATGAACTATATATCTATAATTGAGTTTGTATAAGCCGCTACCTCTATTTCGCGCGAAAAAATATCCTGAGACAAATATATAGTGCAATTTTTGAGGACACATGGACACTGTTGCCAGGCATGAAGCAGGGTGTAAGGCTGGAAGAACGGAAAGGAGAGGGAGAAGAAATTGTGATATATTGACAATGTTGGTATCGACTTGAAACTCACCGTCGCTGACGATGCAGAAAACACCATCGTGTCCGGGGGAGGCATGACCACATGTAATAAGCCGTCCCCTGTGGGGATCTTGTTTTTTCTAGGCAAGTGAAGAAATTAAATTATGCAGTTACATGGACTATTAATAATTTGTGTATGTTTTCTTATTTTTTTGTTTTTGTTTGTAATAACTAAACTGGTTCTAACGAAAAACAGCCGGTTGTTTGGGGGACTCTGTTTGGTCAAAAACTCGCGCCATGCACTCCACGTTTCAGATTCGAAGTTAAGACCGGTCGCGACTTCGTCGTTCGCGCGCGTTCTCGATCTCACCCTGTGGGCTACGTGTATTTTGTTCGAGCTCTCACTGGTCTGTTGTGTCATTTAGGTTTGTTTTGGCTGCCTTCTGTTATCACTTTGGAACGGTCAGTGTGCAAGCAAAAACTTCGCTCGCCACCTTCGAATTTCCTCCCCACCAAGCTCTGTGCGCAGCTCCCCAGAAGACTTCTAGTAAACAATATTGATTAGATTATGAGCTCGAGATTTTTGCTGCGCCCTCGTCAACTATCACGAATAGAAATCGAGGGCGAATAATCTAATTGTCACTTAGTATAAATCTGCTAGTCGTTCAAAACTTTAGTTAAATTCTCTTCACAAACATCTCCAAAACGCAAAGAAGCGGCCGTCATTTTGTTAACAAGCGCACACAGCTACGCTACTCATTATCTACCACAGAATAGAATGGATAGTAAGTAGCGTAGCCAATCAGAGAACGTCATTCGTGATAGAACGCTAGTCGGATTTATACTAAGAGTAATTAGTATAAACCTACCAACGTTTCATCACGAATGCCGTTCTCTGATCGGCTACGCTACTCACTATCTATTCCGTTGTAGTCGGTGACTAGCCCAGTAGTGTGCGGTGGTTAAGTTCTTTGCTTTTTCGAAATGTCTGTGAAAGTTAGATAAAAAGTTTAGAACGACTAGTAGAACAATAAAATTATTCGCTCTCGACATGATTTCTGTGTGATAATCGACCCACGCTGCGACCTCGTCAACTATGATACAATAGAAAGCTGTAGCTGATAATCCCATAACCTGTATACCAAAGCCCGGTCCAGGGGCGAACAGGGACGTGCCAATCTGGTCTGAGAGGTTTGACGGCTTGCTCCAGGTGTCTCCAAAGTCATCGCTACTAATCAGATATGTAGTGTGATACACACATTTGTGGGCACAATACGAATACACCACGAAAACGCGATTTGCGTCTTCATCCACAAACACTGTGCCCAGATTAAGGCCATCAGGGTCCTCGCCGTCGTCTTCAATGAAGGTTGTATTGCTCCATGTTATCCCTTGATCTTTAGAACGGCGCATTGCAAGAAATTTTGGTCCTGAGTCGGCAGAACTGTGCTTCCTTCCTTCTGACATTGCAATGAGAGATCCATCGGGAAGGGACGTTATGATGGGGATACGATAGGTGTTGACGCCAATGTCACCTAGAAAAATGATTGAAAAAGCATTAACTGCATAGTTAGCTGTGATGAGATTTAAATCATGATAAACCTTTATACGCTTGAAAGTAATGAAACCCCTTGCGAAACCCAAGAGATAATAATCTCTTGTTTCCCTTGATTATTCTTTAACATCTCATCTGCTTAACTTGGTGACCCACCCCTCACTGGCAAGAAACTTGTTTTCAGTGTCCATTCAGAAGGCAAAGGCTTGGGGCGAGAAGAACTTGCGGGACGCGGGACATCTCAGCCTCTCGCCCCAATCTGTTCTCGTGCAAACCAGCTAATTGTCACGAGCTAAAAATCATGCTTGCAAATGTTCGAAACTGAAACAGTTTATGTACAGAGAAGCAAGTGCGCGGCGAGGCAACGTTTTAGCAAATTTTCACTCAATTTATAGTGAAAATTGGCAGCTTTTGCCACTTTTTTCTGAATCCCCGCATGAAGCCGTATGTCGACACTGATCTCGATCATGTCACGCAATTTTTGGGCCGTGTTAAACATGACACTATATAAATAGCTACATGCAAGTCAGGGAAAAAAGAAAATTACGTACGAATTATACTTGATCTGTTGAAAATATCCCATGACTGGCCAAAAATTACTTAACAAAGTTGCTTACAACATGAACCAAAATTGAACGGCCAGTTGGCTCGCCCCGATCACGCGACCCGCAAACAAATTTCAGAATTATCGTTCCAGTCAGCCATGAAAGCTAAAAATTATGTTGAGTCATATTTACCTTGCTTCCATAAGGTCACCTCGTGATCAATAATTGGTTCACAAATGCATTGCAAAATCCCCGCGGAAGGAAAGATTAGAAAGGCAAACAAGACCGGTACGGAAGTGTTAGCGGCCATCATCTTACTTCCGGTGTCCTTGTAGCCTCGTTTTCAGTAAGTCGGATAGTGTCCTTCCGGGTGGAAGAGAAAATGAGATATGTCGTCGACCCAAATTTTTGCAAAAAATGAGTCAAAAATCAAAGTTAATGAGACAACGTAATAAAGATAGGAAATGGAAAGAGCTTTTAATTTCGTTTCTATGATTTCTTATCCCTATTGTTGTTTATAGTCGCTTAGTGTAATCGCGTGTCACTACCCCACTTGGTCAAGTAATTTTCAGTTCTCAGACTGGCTGAAAATCACTGCTGACCGCGAACTATTTATGGGACTTACTGCATACAGCCGGTAGTAATCGAAGGGAAATCTACCTTGTAATTTGTAGTGTTAATTGCAAGCTTTGGTGCTATTATATTGTCGATATCAGTCGATAGTCATGTACTATAGTAGACGTTTAACTCACAGATGGAAGCAATGGGAGTGAATTTTTCCACGGAACAAAGTTGGACCTGCAAGCAATGTACATTGATAAACACGGGACGAAATCCCACCTGTTCTGCTTGTGGTTATCGTAAACAGCCAACTGTTAGTGCATGGACGTGTAAAGTTTGTGGTTCTCGCAATCCACAGACGGTAGTTCTTTGCAATCATTGTGGATCGGACAGGATAAAATCTCCTCGTAACTGTGATCACAATGGAAAACAATGGACATGTCCTCGGTGCACGTTGACAAATCCATGGACAGCTAGCATCTGCTCTGCTTGTCAGCTCGATCCCTCGCTAGTTATGGCAGATTCTTCAGCAAGTCGCGGATCTTCTGCCAAGGAAAGGCTCTACCCTGATTTGTCACTTCAATTACATCCAGTTATTGCTCAACAAAGCCCGGAGGTTCTCAAATGTCCCAAATGCCAAAGTTTATTATACGACAATGTCGGAGTGTATTGCACAGTTTGTCATTCTCCGTGTCCTGAAGAAGGTTTTAAACCGAGACCATTTCCCAAATCCTCTGTACCTCATGTGTCTAAAGATATTGATGACAGCCACTGGAGTTGCTCTGGCTGTACTTTAGATAACAAAGCTTCTAATTCAGTCTGCGAGGTTTGCGGAAGGGCTCGTGATGTTGGACCTAACCGCAGCAATTCAGGAGAAACTTCTGATTCAACAGGTATTTCGCTTACTCCTTTGTAGATAAGAAGTTATGTAATATCGCTTTTCAATATTTTGTTAGTCAATTATGATCATAACCCAGCTGGCTGAACTTGGTGTAGCAGTTGTCTTAATGCAGCCTGCAAATATGGGGCCATTCCATCTTTTATCCACACTCCCCTCCCCTCCCCTCCTCCATTGAGGACCTAGGGAATCTGAAAGGGAGGGGGGAGTCTTAAAAGGTCGTCTCTGAGGGGGCAACTGTGTTGGCACCTCTGATCTTTTAATAAATTCCGAAGCTTGCCAATATGGGGCCATTCCATCTTTTATCTGCACACCCCTCCCCCCTCCATTGAGGACCTAGGAAATCTGAAAGGGAGGGGGGAGTCTTTAAAGGTTGTCTCTGAGTGGGTAACTGTGTTGGCACCTCTGATCTTAAAATAAATTCTGAAGGCAGAAGTGTGTCCGCACTTTGAACTTCCTCTCTTGCAATTGAGTGGTAAAAAGTTTACTTTTCTGAGGGGTTAAAATTGAAAGCTCCTTAATATGAGAGATAATAAATGGAATGGCCAATGGTCTGGTCGAAATGGAGCTGAGCTACTCATGTTCCAAACCTGACTGACAAGTTAGGTATAACAGAGGAGCAGCTTTTGAATTAGTGTGGTTTGACAGCTGTGTGCAGCCATGTTATGTTGGGTTGAATATGTTACATCTGTGGTGTTGCTGAGTGCTAGCTCCAGTGATCAGTTTAAAATTAAGGGAATATATGTTTTTCCAGTTATTTTACTTTTCTTGATGGTAAACATACTAGAGGATATTACACGGTGCTATGGAGATACCAATTTTATGTCCAGGTCGTAGAATATTATTCTCAACATGTGAAAATAAAATTCTTATTTTCAAGCCGCCGTGTAATTTTATATTTATTAAATAGAAAAACTGAAAGTTTGCACAAACAACCTGAAAAAGCAGGAAATGACATCATCAACATCCCCACTGGTGAGGATATGGAAAATATGCCACTTTTGTCCTGGCTGTAGTTTCATATGAATTTTTCAACTGGTGTATTTTCCAGTAAAACACTCCTCTCTTTATAATAAAATTTATTATTAACTGTACTGCTATTTTGACAACTTAAAAGATAAAATTTAATTGAGTACAAACTGACGATCTTATGACCAGAGAATTACTAATTCTCTACTTCCTTGTCTCCTGAGACAGACGGACACCAACAACTTATTACGTGAAGAATTCAGTGAAAGGAATATTAGTTTTATATTTGTTTTAATATTATTGTAATAAGTTCAATAACCAACTTCTAAGGTTCTGGTGTTGTGGATCCTGGCTGGTCTTGTCCAACTTGTACTCTCTTCAATTCATCAAATGTTGCTATGTGTAGTGCATGTGGTTCAAAAAGAGACAGCGGTGCAAGTCATGGAGAAGCCTCTCAACCGTCACCCTCAACCAGCCCCAGTAAAACAATGAAGCGCCAGAAAAGTATACCTGTGGAGTCCAGGAGAATGCGTGACGAGAAGCAGGCTAAAGAACAGTGGATCAACATTGTGCAATACTGTAACAGTGTACGTACAAATACTGGTTCATTGGTATCATAGCACAGCTTTTCATGTTTGAAACTCAGCTGTGTGAAAATTTACCAACTTTCATGAAGGGATATTTACAAATAATTAAGAACCAACATAACATAACAGGAAATTAAGTGACACATTTTGATCGCAAACAGAATTAAATCAGCTACATGTACCCAGTGCAGCATGGAAAAATAATGCTATTTTGTGACTGGCTATAATAATTTTAATTAGCTTTTAAATTGATTTATTGTCAACTTTAGCCAGAGAATTAAATAATATATATTTAGGAACACTGCTCTAATGTCTATTTAACAATTTAAAGTGATGCTGTTCTATTTGTTTTTACATTCAGCAAAGTATCCAGTTTATAGATGACTCCTTCCCACCTGCTGAAAAGTCTCTCTATCTGGAGCCACGGTTCTCTGAACACCCTCGCGTAGCAGAATGGAGGCGTCCTCAGCACATCACCTCATTTGGAGGTGGGCGTGGCACAGCTTCAATTGCACTGGCAGTTTTCCGCAGTCCAAGGCCCGATGACATTATGCAAGGGGTTCTGGGTGACTGCTGGTAAGTTACTGAGAAAAACAAACCAGTTGAAATGCACTGTCTGTCTACTTCTGTCACATGGTAAAATTTGTAGACTGACAAATTTTTCATTGCTCCCTGTGGTTTTCCTGACAAACACCAGCTCAAAGTACAGTCCATTGGCACTTGGCTGTAAGTTTAAACTTTCTTTCTCCTTGCAGACAGAATTGTTTATAATAGACCATATTCATTTTCTCAGTATTGGACTGCAACTAGCTTGCAACTGTCTGCTAAGGCAGGAAGTCTTTTCAAATGTAAATGGAATTAATCTCTTTTAAGTGATATTCCCCCGCATGAGCCTCTGTTGCAAGCTCGTTCCAGTCTTATTCCAAGAATTCATACAAATATGGCCTTGAATTGGCCCTGAAAAAACCTCATTGGGGGAGTGGTCAATTAAAACATTTAGTTTTATTTTACTTATTTATTTTATTGCTTGGGTGAGTAAGCAGTAATGACAACAGAAACTAATAAATAAAGGAGTCAAATTAAGTAATAATTTTAATTGATAAGTTAATTGACTCTTTTCAGTAATTTTAAAATCAGGTCTCATCCTAAATTTAAGTCTTTGCTAAATTTACCACTCAACATTCTTTAATAATTGTTTCAGGTTTCTGAGTGCTATGGCTGTCTTGGGCGAAAGACCTGAGCTCCTGGAAAAAATTGTGATAACAAGAGAGGTAACTGTTCTAGATTTATAAACTTCAGTTTTTGTTCTCTCCTTTGAATATTTAGCTAAATTTAACAAACGGAAAGTGTGCAAACACTGGGTTATACAACCTTAGGACTTCCATAGATGTTCGGCTTTCAATTTCTCTTCACTGTCTCTAATTTTTAAGGGTGACAAGTAATGACAATGATGTGAAACTCTGAGAATTAATGGCAAATTTAAAGAAATTTGGGGTAGTCTGGAAGGGACAGATCTTCAGGGGCAAATCTAGGAGGGGGTTGGGGAGTTCGGCTGAAGCCCCTAAATTAAGAAAATGAGACATTATTAACAACAGGCCTCAGAATGGCAGAAATTCCATTTCCAAGGACCTCAATTTTAAACAGTTTACAGATCACAGGGGTTTGCCTTGGCCAGTCTGTATCTCGAACCCCCTTCTCAAAGATCTTGCATCAACCCCAAGATTTGTTTATCTTTTATGGCCTTTTAAATTTGTAAGTGTACTCTGTTTCACTGCTGTAGATCAATCCAGAGGGAGCATACCAAGTTCGACTTTGTAAAGATGGAAAATGGACAGTAATTTTGGTTGATGACCTCTTACCTTGTGATTGCCATGGACAACCTGTTTATTCACAGGTAGATAATAAACTATGTGTTAACTCGATAAGTCTTTAGAACATGACTTGAGGATGAGGAACCATCCCTCCAAGTGGAAAATTACAGTACTCCATGATTAGTAGTAAATATTTTTGAGTCATTGTTACTTAATAAAATTATGTCTATTAATAGTAATGCTTATCAGGGTCAGGCACAATTTTGGTGAGTACGGTTGCAGTTTGCTTCGGTGACCTGTCAAAACTGATGTTAGGGCAGGATAGTGGGTGACTTGCGATAGACCAGTATTTTATTAGTAATTTATACTCTTAGTTGCTTGCATGCAGCTGTTCCCTCTGATCTCTAATTTAAGTTCAATGTACATGCATCCCAGTATTTTAAGCTTTATTTTCCGAGGCTGCGCTTGCTTATTAGGTCTCTCCATTGAAACTCTTGATTTCCTGTTCACAGGCAAATCTTTCAGAATTAGTGCCGTACAATAGGTAATATTTGAAAAGAAATATCTTGAATTTCTTATTCTGCCTTAGGCTCGTCGTCGGCAGCTATGGGTTCCATTAATTGAGAAGGCCATGGCCAAACTTCATGGTTGTTACCAGGCTCTTACTGCTGGTCGCTGCATAGAAGGCCTTGCTACTTTGACAGGAGCTCCATGTCAGAGTTTTATGTTGCATGGTAAGGGACTTTCAGATTCTAACTAGTTTTCCTCAAAAGGGAAAATTTTCATAAAAGGAAAAAAATACATAATTAGTGATATCTTGCTTTGTTTTGCTTGCACAAAATCTCAACAAAATTTAGAAGTTGTTGTTTTCTATAAATAAGTTAAGTTGCCTCCTTGTAGAAAAATGGACTGATCAGAGAATTTCTGCCCCAGATTTGCAAGTCAGGGTGTTCTTCATAAGAATTTAAGAGGTACAAGCCTTATAAGGTTGTGGCGCTGACAGAGCAAAGTTGTTCAACAGCTTTTTATATTGTTATTAAAACTATTGATAGATCGAAGTATATTTTTCATTTAATGTACGATATACATATCAAGGTTATCTTTGGTTCATGTTCAGTGGACCTAATGTGGTTGTTTTGTTTTTATGCAGCGCCTCAAAACCCCACAAGCGACACAGAACCTATAGATAAAGACATGATCTGGGCACAGCTTCTGAGCTGTAGAAGTGCTGGGTAGGTAGCAAAACCATTCGTGGTTCATCATTGCATGTAGGAATTTGGACCACTTCCCATCAGTGCCAGTTTTTTCATTAGTCTTTTCTGATATTTTGATGGTTTATATCTATTTATTTTGTTTTGTTTTGTATTACTCTTGTACCAAGTTTATGATATTTATGTGCACCAATGTATTTGTTGTGCCTCTTTCCTGACTCTCACATTTTTAATTATTATAATTACGGTCACCCAACTAGTTCAGCTTTTTAGTTGTTTTGGGTGTCCCACTACTGTATGTACTGTACTGTTTATTTATTTATTTATAATTAAAATCTTGTAAATTCTTTTAGTTGTTTACAGTAGTAGAAATAAACTGTTGTTGTTGTTGTTGTTGCGCGTCTGCAGAACGAGATTGGGGGAGAGCAAAGGGTTGGACACTATAGCAGCGTCCACACTACCGCCGCCTTATTTCTAAGGTTAGGCCTACCGTCCACACTAATCCGTCACGAAAACGGAGCTTTTCGAAAACGCTCTTGAAACTGGAGGAATTTGAAAACGTCGGCTTTTCATTTTCGTGTGGACGGAGAACATTTTGAAAACGGAGCTTTTCCGGCGAAAACGATAGCGTCCCGATAATCATGTGATTTCCTCAAACACGAACCCAAAATGACTGGTGATTGTTACGTTTTTAAATTCCTCCGGCGTGTTGTGGACGGAAAATATTTGGTGCGTTTTAAGAGTGAAAGCTCCGTTTTCAAATTCCTTCGGTGTAGTTTGGACGGGGCTTATATTCTCATGTCAATTTTCATCTTTGAAGTGCACCCTCATCATTGCAATTTACGTGGTAGGTTTCTTATGGGGGCATCCTGTGGTGGAGATACAAAACCGGAAGAAGAACCCGTTTTTGCAGCAGTTGGTCTGCAAACGCATCACGCTTACTCCGTGCTTGATGTAAAGGATGTTCATGGCATAAGGTTAGCTAGTCATGTTCCATCGTCTACATGTAGTACATTTGCTGTACAGAGCACTTTGTCTCTTGCACTTGCAAGATTTCTGCCGAAGAACGAGACTAAATGAAATCTAAAAAAAGCACATTTGGCTAAAATGGAGATGTATTGCAAGTTTAAAAGAGTCGCGCTTTAGCGTCGCGTCGCTTCTTTGACATGCATTAAAAAATAATGGTTTAAGTTTTAAAAACTATTAAAACTTATCAAGATTCAACGAAATGATCAAAATCACGCAAAATTAGAATGCGTTGCAATGCAATGTAACGTGTTAAGTTTATATCTGACTGAAGAGAATCAAGGTAAGGTCTTTTTTTTTAAGTTCATGCGTACAGCTAAGATGCCCCAGTAAAAAAGGTCACGTGCAGAGTCCTTACTTTTTCCACGCGCGCCTTGTCTCCAATTTCTACGCGGCTGGATATTTTTTTTTTCTTTTCTTTTTTTTTTTTTAGAGTGTCATTTTTTCTTTTTTTTCTTTTTTTTTAAGGCAAAATCCAATTCTGATTTCAACTTATCCAGTTTTTATTTCCACAAACGTGATCTATTAGGGAAATTCCATATGTAGTCCAAGGTTGAAAACAAAGCGTGACTAAAACTTCAATAAGGTTTGACATGATTACTGAACCTGTAATATATTATGCCACAGACTCGTTCGCCTTCGTAACCCTTGGGGTCGCTTCTCGTGGACTGGTGACTGGTCTGATGCATCCCCTCTGTGGACCCCTGAGTTGAGATATGAACTCATGGCCCATGGGTCTGAGGAAGGAGTCTTCTGGATGTCCCTTGAGGACTTCATGAAGTAAGTGCCATTCTCCGCATAGATGTTTATCATGTTTCCATGAGGTTCGAAAATATGGAGCTTAAGCAATGACAACTGCGACGTCGAGGACAAGGCCTGTAAAAATATGGATTTATATCTCGCCTTTGAATGTCGCAATTTTGTAGGCCTGTTTAGTACTTTTGTCGTCTATCGGTCTAAAAAGATGTTCATGCAAACCTAACATGTAACGACAGAGTTGAAATTCCAAAATAAATGGAAAATTAGCCCTCGAACTTCACCTTCAGCTTCTTCAAAATACACAGAACTTTGCTATTTCACGTTGTCTTTTTGCAGATTACGGCTAAGGACTGTACAAAGTTTCACAACGCTCGTTTGCCTAGAAAAGCGGGGAAATCTATTAAATGAATCTTCAAGTAATTTTATCGATACATAGATCGGCCTCTGAAGAACCTTGCGTATTGTCGCACTTCATTTTAGTTGCTAAGCACGCTGTAAAGCGCTTACTAGAGAATGGAATTCTTTTCATTTATGTACAGGTACTTTGACAGTGTGGACGTGTGCAAGCTCAGGGAGGGCTGGGCCGAGGCCCGTGTCAATGGATGTTTTCCGGCGTTTGCAGGTCCCCCAGCTAAGGTTGCTTTGGTGAACGTGTTTTCTACCACTGATGTTGACTTTTGCCTGTTCCAAGAAGGAGTCAGGTTGGTTTTTCTATGCGCGTGCAAGGCGTGTAGCTTGCGTGGGCTGATGGCCTGGTTTTACACTATAGTTTTAAAAGTCTCACGCCCCTTGTCTTTTGGTGTACAAGGAATCTGCCTCGCTACAGCAATATTTCTGCAAGCATTGCAAGATCTTCAGTTAAACGAAGTCTATTTTGCGCTGCAGCATTTGTAGCTGCACTGTAACCAATGAATATACCCACTGAAATCGACCCTTTCGTTAAACTTATTGCAAAGACCTAACGAATTATCTCCTATTATAAAAAAACAAGCTGATCTCTGAAATGCATGACTTTGAGACCCTCCCTATATTCATCTCTTTATTTATTTATTTATTTTTTTATTTTTTTTTTCAGGGGAAAGGCGGAAGGTGTGAAATCTCTGCTTGACCTGTCAATCATTGTGTGTCGCACGTCATCCGGGACTCTGAGTCCCAGACCCCTCTCGCTCGTCTGTCACAGCAGGAGACAGGTGAAGTCTGATGTTTCATGTAACGGTATTCTGGAAGAAGGAACTTACATGATAGGTAAGCAATTCGTGCATAGAGGTACCCTTGTGCCATGGCAAAGCTAAAAGCTTTCATATAAAGGTGAATTGTGCTATTTTTAGGACAAGTTTGATTCCGAAGGTAAAATGCTGCGGCGGGTATCTTTGGATAGAAACATCTCCAGATAATTTATTTTCTTTCAGTGCGACCTAAACTTGATATATTTTGATTGTTTTTTTTTTTTCTTTATTTGATTTGGTCCTATAAGCATAAACAACAACACTGCACAGGCTACTGGGCCAGTACCACATGACAAATGATTTATTAGCATTGTTTACTGGTTATTTAAGCTGTTGATGTTGTCCTTTAGTTTGCTCAGCGTTCAATCACTGGCAGTCGTTGGAAGCAAGAAGCAATGAAGTAGCAGGAGCCTCATTCGTCAAAGGACTTGTAGATGAAGAACTTTTCCCAAACTATGTGCTGGCAGTGCACAGCTCTCGCGCGGTCATGGTGGAGCAAGTACCAATGGCAGACTTCTGTTTGGCTGATACGCTTTTGTTATTGGCCACGTCAAAAGGAAAACGACATGAGGTAATTTGCTGGGTTCACGTCACGAGGACTTTTAGTAAACGGATTCGACTGACTTCAAGCCACAGAGAAATTGCTCCCTGTTAGTAGTTTTCAATGAGACCCCGTCTTCCCTTCTCCACAATGTCTAAAAACTCTATCAATGTGTAATGACATTGTTCACATGTTCGTAGGGTATTCCCGGAGTCACGTGTTACTACATGGCGCAAGGAATTGCGGGATTGATAGTTGTAGCGGAAAACCGCCGACCCGAACACCACTTGCTCGTGGACTGTGACTGTTCAGAGAGCTTTAACGTGGTGTCATCCAGAGGAGTGCTCATGACCACTGACTGTGTTCCACCCCTCCATACGTAAGTTAAAAATTATGGCAAGTTGTTGAATATGTTGTATTCTGCTGAAATAATCCTGGCGCTAGGAACTGGCCTAACTTCAGACTTGTTGAACATAAGTATAAACTCTATTTCCGTCCCTAATGACCAAAATTGCCATGAAGTTCCCCTCAAATTCAAAAGGAAAGCAAGAAATATGACCCACGTTTGTCTCGTGGAAACTGCAACTAGGATTAAAATTACCTTTCGGCTAAAAGCGCTGTACTTTAGTTAAGTTTGCATTATTCTTTCCTCGGGGGAGGAGAAGGAGGGGGTTTCCCAAATCACAATATTTGGTTTTAGAGTTCAGTTTTATAAGTCTCTTATTGGAATATTGTTCCCATTCTAGGCAGATACTTGTTCTTTTGACGCAGCTGGAAGGAACAGACGGTTTCGCCGTGTCTCATAAACTCAGCTTTCGGATCTTGCCCGATAATGGTTTTGGAGCATACGGAGCTCATCACACGCCACAGCTGACACCAGAACTGTTTGGATTACACAGCGCACGGCCTTTATGACGAAGGGGTTGATGACGTCATGGACTCAAAACACCTGCATGTAAAATGTGCCAAGTCAGGGGGAAACTCTCTAACCAGGCGAAGTTACTGATCCCGAAGATAACAAAGCTGTCCTTTTCTAGTTCAAAAGCTTGTCTGTGAAAGCTAATTGTTGCTACAACCGTGGACAGAATATCTGACAAAATGTTTGAAATACTGTGTGAATTTTCTGTCGATGTAATCGATAGGTTTACTGGAAGATCGTGACAATTCCCTCGATATTCGCAATTCATTATGATGGGGAATGTAAACGGGATTTGGTCTAAGGAAGCTGGCCTTCTTTCCGTTTTATTTATTGTTTTATTTTTCAGAAGCGTCTAAAAACGAAATAGAGATGTAAAAATTGTAACAGTCATGTTGTGAACCATGTTAAGTTACATGAAGCCATATGAAATAGGGCTCAATTCAATTTTTTTGTGACTATGACATGTATGAATTAAAATAGGGACACTCATGAAAGTTTGGGAGAACTAGAAATAGTTGTGGGAACACTTGCCTGTGGCTGGTGGCCTCACAGTGTTTCTCGTTCTCACAAACTTCCACTCGCGTTACTAAAACGTAGATGGAAACATGGAAACGTTTTATATTTTAAATATTAATTAGTTGGGGGAGATATGCAAAGCCAAGGAAGTAAGAATGAAAAGAAGAGGTCTCAACCACTGACTATTGCAAGTGTTAATCGCAAGTTGTATTAAATGACATTTTAGTTGAATAAATTTTATTTAACTCATTGTACGACCCTTTCAAACTAGTACGTGAAGCCATGGTGCTGAAGGGACGACTGTATGTGTGTTGCGTACACAATAACAATTTTAGACTGCATGCCAGTTTTATTGTGCATGGAAAATTGTGTTATTTTTTGTTGCGTAAAGGAAGGAAAAATGATCACTGGATTTTTAGGTTATGTACTATGCTAAAGAGAAATTACATGGAGGGTCACATATTTACAGCAGACCTATACATACAGTGGTATGTCAAAACTGATACCATTTGTTTTAGTGTCGTTGTCGCCTTCAGTCTTTTTAATACGGAAGCCCTAAAGGGACATCCACTTATGAAAAATGGGAGTTCGTTTTTCGAGATTAAGAATTTGCTTTTTCGAAAATGGAAGTTTGTTTTTCGAAAATGGGAGTTTGTTTTACGAAAATGCGAGTTTGTTTTACGAAAATGGGAGTTTGTATTTTCGAAAATGGGAGTTTGTTTTTCGAAAATGGGAGTTTGTTTTCTCGAAAATGGGAGTTTGTTTTTTTAAAAATGGGAGTTTGTGTTTCGGAAATGAGAGTTTGTTTTACGAAAATGCGAGTTAGTTTTTTTTAAAAATGGGAGTTTGTTCTACGAAAATGGGAGTTTGTTTTACGAAAATGGGNGGATTTACATCCAATCCCACCACATTGATTACATATTTCATTGCGTTCATTGTGAATGAATATTTTACCCTTGTATCTCTTAGGGCCTATCTACGGAAGCCCCAAAGGGACATCCAGTTATGAAAAATGGGAGTTCGTTTTTCGAGATTAAGAATTTGATTTTTCGAAAATGGGAGTTTGTTTTTCGAAAATGCGAGTTTGTTTTACGAAAATGCGAGTTTGTTTTACAAAAATGGGAGTTTGTTTTTTCGAAAATGGGAGTTTGTTTTTTTCGAAAATGGGAGTTTGTTTTTTCGAAAATGGGAGTTTGTTTTAGAAAAATGGGAGTTTGTTTTTTTTAAAATGGGAGTTTGTTTTTCGGAAATGAAAGTTTGTTTTACAAAAATGCGAGTTAGTTTTTTTTAAAAATGGGAGTTTGTTCTACGAAAATGGGAGTTTGTTTTACGAAAATGGGAGTTTGTTTGGCGAAAATGGGAGTTTGTTTTTCGAAAATGGGAGTTTGTTTTTCGAAAATGGGAGTTTGTTTTGCGAAAATACGAGTTTGTTTTTCGAAAATGGGAGTTTGTTTTTCGAAAATGGGAGTTAGTTTTTTTTTAAAATGGGAGTTTGTTCTACGAAAATGGGAGTTTGTTTTACGAAAATGGGAGTTTGTTTTACGAAAATGGGAGTTTGTTTTTCGAAAATGGGAGTTTGTTTTTCGAAAATGGGAGTTTGTTTTTCGAAAATGGGAGTTTGTTTTCTCGAAAATGGGAGGGTTTTTTGATGATGAAAATGATTGACAGGCCAAACACGACTCCTATTGGTCAAGATAGAGCTAGCCAATGGCGTAATGTAATGTTTTCGATCCTTATTTGTTTGAAGCTCGTTTGTTTTACGAAAATGGAAGTTTGTTTTTCGAAAATGGGGGTTCGTTTTTTCGAAAATGGGAGTTTGCTTTACGAAAATGGGAGTTTGTTTTACGAAAATGGGAGTTTTTTTTCGAAAATGGGAGTTTTTTTTTCGAAAATGAGAGTTTATTTTACGAAAACGGGAGTTTGCTTTTCGAAAACGAGAGTTTATATTTCGAAAACGGGAGTTTGTATTTCGAAAATGGGAGTTTGCTTTTCGAAAAC